ACTAAATTAAGATTGGAGGAAAATATATATTCATGCACACTGTAAAAAGGCTGCAGCCATCTTAACAGGTTTGGCTTGCTCCAGCGCCCTCCTACCGCCCCCTTCTGCTCCAGCACCCCCATGCCGCCCCTTTTCGTTCTACCGCCCCCCGAAAAATGAAATCGCCCCCTGGGGGGCATTATCGGCCACGTTAAGAACCACTGGTTTAAATCATATACCTATCAACCTCAGCTTCGGAATGAATAGAGAAGGACTAATGAATATAAAGCATTTGTGTTCTTTGTCAACCATAGAAAATGTCTACAGTTATTTAGTAAATATGTGGAGCAGACAGTGGCATGGCTGCCCCTGTCAGTGAACTTTTGCCCTCCTACCGAGGGCCCAAAAGCTGTCTATCAGATACAGTAGAAACCTTGGTGACTCTGGAGCCTGAACCATCAGTGGGGGGAGTCTCAAAGGATGTTGGGGCTCATAATGAGTTCCTGTCCCTGTTACTTGCCCTGGAAACTCTGGGGACAGGTTGGTGACCACTGGGGGAAAGAAGACCCTGAGTATATCTGTGGCAGATGGGGAATATAAAAGGGGCCTTCCCATGAGGTAGGAAAAAGACCCACCAGCAGAGAGAACCTGCAAGGAGCAGGCTTGCCTAGGGTTGCCAGACGTCCGGCAAAAGGAGGACATGTTCTACTTTTGAGGAGCATGTCCTCCGTCCGGCAGACAAAACTAAAAAACTTCAAAATGTCCAGCTTTTGTTTTTTTTAATAAACATTTTATTAGTTTTTCAATCTATCTACATTGTTTTGTGCTTGTCAAACATCGTGTTACATGCTTTGCTTATAATTATTTGTTTATTACATCTCAGTGTCTTCCCGGTTATCCCCCCCAAATTCCAAACATCTTTCAAACATTCAAACCATTCATATACAAATTTTAGTATATAATATGACTACTATCATAATTTATTACTCTCATATAATATTCTCAAGGTCTTCTAATAACATTCTTATTGAAAGTGGTTCCAGATCCATGACCCAGCTTTATATCTAGTTTAGTTTACATAAATTAAAAAAAAATCATATTACATCTTTACCCTGATTAGGGCTCCCTTATTTCAATTTAATTCTCCTTTTTAATATACAGAATATACCCTTTTACAGTTCCAGATGTTAAATATATACATGTTTTCAATATTAAGGGGCCCTTCCTTGTTTTCCCTTTTTTCATCTTTCTAGGTAATTCCCTCTCTAATTTCTCTTTTCTCATTTAATATTTCTGTGTCTCTAAGCATTCTGCCATCTTTCATGTCCTCTGAAACCATTTTGTACATCTGATTTATGTCCACTAACTCTTTATGTACTTGGTCTATCTTCAATGGGTCTTCCAGGCTTTTTTTTTTGTTGTTGTTATTTTGCTGTTTTTTTCCCTTTGTCTTCCCTTAGTACTCTCCTCTGGTCCAAGACTGACGTTTCTCTTAGATTAACTTCCTCCAGCTCCTGCTTTAATTGGCATACATCATGTGAGATACTCTCATTTCCTTCTTTGTTGTTCCCTGTTGCTTGTGGACTATAGTTCTTCTGATGTTGATTGGATAGTTTTGCCTCTTGATAATGAGATCTCACTATTTCTAGTATTGTTTGAAGGGTAGATTTTATTCCATTCCAAAATTGTCCTTGTTGTGCCATTCTGTTTCAGCTGCCCAAATGCTTATAAACATATTCAAAGTTTCCAGAGTCATTTCAAAAAGTCCGCTTTGGCTAAATAGGCCTGAACCAAATTTGAACCCTCAAAATACCAGGGTAGGGTGCAATATTTGTATCCGCGGCCTGATGGCCTTAAAGGTCCACCTTAGGGTTAATTTTCCAGCCAAGCACAAAGAAAGTCAAAAGGAAATAACAGCAGAGTGTTCAAGATCACCCCTCCTAGGCTCCATGCCAAGTGACTTCAGGTAGTCAAAACATAGTCCAGATTTATCAAGTATAACTCACAGGAAAGTTTCTCAAGCTTCACAACACCAAACTGTAATATTCTTGAAGCATATTTTTAAAAGTTATTTCCTTTCCATCAGCTATCACTCTCACCAGATTTTTTGCCGCTTTATAGTTTCTGAGATAGATAGCAATTCTTTTTTTCCATATATAGGAATTGTTTCCTCCAGGGGTACATAAGCAATTAGTTATAAAAATCTCACCCGATGGTAAACAGCGATGCCAGATGCTGATCATTGCTTCTCTTAGCCGGCTGCCGACGACTTGCAAGCGAGCTCTTAAGCTGCTTGTTTCTGCCCGTTGGCTGATTAGGGAGTTTCCTGGACCGAATGGGGGTAGCCGCCGCCCCCACGTGATCAACAGGCTTCCCCCCCAGTTCACCACCCCTCCAGGGTGGTTCCGACACCCTATGGTGTCCCAAACAAGGTCAGAATTCAGCCTGGGGGACAGAGCTCTGTCCTCTTGCTGCTGTCTCGTTGCGACGTCAAGCCGGAAGTCCAAAAATGTCCAGCTTTTGTATCTAGGCTTGCCAGATGGAGGAGAGGCAGAAGCCCCTTTCTGACCCCAAAAGGGCAGAAGGAAAAGCCCTAGAGGAAGAGGCGTGAGGAGAGTGTTTCTTTGCCCCATAAGCCCTAAATAGTTTCTCAGGGACTTACTGTTCAGAAGACTCACTCGAAGAAGACCCTGAACCACCCAGGAGTGGCACTACGTTTATAAAAAAGACCCCTGGCTCATGGTTCTGTCCAGTTGAGGGGCTGTAAGGAAGAGGGGGGCAATGTGAGAACCCCTTGCTCCCCTACAGACCTCCCTGTTGAGGGGAATGGAAGAGGAAGTCTCAAAAGGGGCTGTAGTCTAGAAAGAGGCAACAAGAATGCCAGTGCTAGAAGGGAGAGAGGAAGGCAGCAATCACCCCGGGACTCTCCCAAAGAGACAGCTAGCCACACTGTCCTCGCTGCAGACACACCACCCCTCACTGTTGAGGGCAGGATGATACTCAGTTCCATTCGGTCCAGGGTCCTCAGTGCCAGTACCTACCATGACTTCAGCAAATAGACCTGAAGTTGGGAGAGACATTCCATATCCCTTGATGAAGAGAACTAAGGGATCAAAGACTGTATATTCATCACCACTGAAGGGAGGTGAGCAGAAGTTTTGGTATGTTAATCCCTCCTTCGTTATAATAAACTCTGTTGCAACCCTTCTGTCTGGAGTTCATGGAACACAAGATAGAAGAAGAGAACCCAGACGAGGCTGGCAGAAGTCACAAAATCTCTTGACAATGTTAAATACAGTGGTGCCTCGCTTAACAGCGATAATCCGTTCCAGGAAAATCGCTGTTAAGCGAAAACGTCGTAAAGCGAAAATAAAAAGCCCATTGAAATGCATTGAAAACCGTTCAATGTATTCCAATGGGCTAAAAAACTCACCGTCCTGCGAAGATCCTCCATACGGCGGCCATTTTTGGTCCCTGTATAGCAAGGAATCCATTCCTAAACACAGTGGGGAACCATTTTAATTACCCGGCGGCCATTTTGAAACCGCCGATCAGCTGTTAAAAAAACATCGTTTTGCAAAGAATCGGTTCCTGAAGCAGGGAACCGATCATCGCAAAGCGAAAAAACCCTATTTAGACCATCGTTTTGCGATCGCAAAAGCAATCGCAAAAACGTTGTTGTGAAGCGGATTCGTTGTAATGCGGGGTGATCGTAAAGCGGGGCATGACTGTATCAGTGTGGAAATATGGTTTGTGAAAATTTTATGCATGATCATAGAATATCAAAAGGTTCTTCAGAAGCTGCCAATAAATTTTTTTGATCACGCTATTTCTTAGGAAGAAGAAACCATATCCCTAAAGTAGGAGATATTTTGACTATTTACAGTAAACAAAACTGGCCTTAAAACTGTGGAGTCAACAACCTAAAATATGTCGGAACCAAACTGACTGCACCCCAAACTACAGAGGTTATTTAAAAGGCCAAGGTAAAGATGGTGTCAGAAAGACCGCAGAATACGCTGAGGTGGCATGGCTTCCTGCTCTATTATTTCTGACTGTGAGTGAGTGTTGAGCAAGGGAAATAGCAGGTAGACTAGCAGTCCTATTAACTGGTAAAATTATTGAAGGCCAGAAGCAGAATCCTCTTTGTTGTTTCCACTTATTCTCTTGCATGAGTTATTAGAGTGTTTTGCAGCTTATTCACTGCAAAACATTAATTGCTCCTTCATGCAAGTGGAAGCAGCATTGCTTTGAGCCAGGCAGTCTTCACTTGTCCTATGGCTGGTAAATAAATGTATAGATCTAGCTGTTTTTATGTAAGACCTGCTGCTTTGACTGCTGTATGTTTGTAAAATTTTGTGCAGATAAGAAAACTTTTCACAGTAGTTCAGTAAATACCACTTTGGTGAGTCAAGGAATATTTTTCACATTTGCATGTTTGTGAAGTTTACTGGATTTGACTGAATTCTGAACTTGAATTCTGAATTCAAGCTTGATTAGCATGGCCAGAAAAAATGTTAGAAGTCTAGTAGCACTGTTGGAAAGTATTATTTGTTCTTAAGTCATTTGTGTCACTTCAGGATTCAGGGTAGAACAATCTTTATTAAATGCAGAAAGGCTGATCCACGTTTCTCATACTGACTCAAGAAATACACTTCTGTAAGATTCTTCTGTGGTACTGAACATGCTCAGGTTTAGCTAATTACTAATGTTTAATAAGGATAGACTTAGTAAGTTTTCTTTTTCCTTTATAGGATGCCCGTCAGAGATTCCGATCTGTCCTGGTCGAAGCTACAATAAAACTTGATGAACTAGTAAAGAAGATTGGGAAAGCTGTAGAAGACTCAAAACCTTACTGGGAAGCACGGAGGGTTGCCAGACAGGTAACAGCTTCACTGAATGGGAATTTGGATGGGTGCAACTCTGGCTACAGAATGCACACTGAAGCACAGAATTGGTATTTATTGTGTCTGATATGTAGATGTTTGATCGATGCTGGGATTGATGTTTCAGTTATGTGTTTCTCATGGAATTGATGCTGCAGTTTTATTCCTTTCCTATGTGAACTGCTTGTAAGTGCCACCCACGTTAGATGTAAGCTAGCAAACGGCTTGTTCTTTTTCCTTCTCCAGTCCCTATTAATAATGATTCTTCAGAAGATTTCAACAACCTACTCATGTTCTCTTCCCCAGCAGTTGTAACTGCATCACAACCAGTTCTTGTCTTTGAAACTTATATTTTTATTTTTAGAAATAGGATATTAGAAGCTAAGCTCTTAAATAGATAAAATCAGTTTATTGTAATATGAAGATCTGTTGACATTGCTTACTCTTGAGAAATTGACAACTGATAGAAAACTGAGATACAGAAACACTTATTATCTCTCAATCTTTAAAAACAAAAAATCAAACCAGTAAAAACAAAACATTTTTATGAATTGAAAAAGAAAAATTTGTGGCAATGCTTACCTGACTCTTCAAAGGTTGGATGTGATCTAATTATGAGTAAACTGTTTCCCCGAAAATAAGACCTAACCTGAAAATAGGCCCTAGTATGATTTTTCAGGTTGCTCATAATATAAATCCTACCCCCAAAGTAAGAACTAATTAAGTGAAACTCCGCCATCCACCATTGTGCAGCAATCAGAAGATGACAGGACTGTATTTGAATAAATGTAGATTGTTGTACATGAAGAAAATAAAACATCCCCTGAAAAGAAGCCCTAATGTGTTTTTTGGAGCAAAAATTAATATAAGACCCTGTCTTATTTTCGGGGAAACACGGTAGATGTCATTAAATTGTGGAATACTGTTTTACGGTTTTACCGTTTTCATAATACTGTCAAAATGACTTTCTTTTCTTACCCTAATCAAGTTCAGGTGATCCAGCATAGTTTCATGAACTGAAAGCAATATGGTTAGTCTCAGTGGTGCAGGGGGGAATTTTCAGTGTTGTTCCTGGTAATGAAATACCCTTCCCCATCCATTTCTCCTACAGAAGCTGATTAGATTTTGTGTTGAATCTATACTCAGTACTGGTGATGGGATAGAATCCATCACCATGCCTGAAGGCAACAAGTAGTATAGCAGAGGAAGGACTACACAGCTTTGTCTTTTAAGAAAGAAAAACATCAGGGAGGTTCAGGAAGAACAGCCAAGGGACTGCTCCTGTTTCTGCCCCTGAGCATCTGGTCCCTGAGATGGTTGTCTCACTCTGCTTGATAGAAGGACTGCCTGCAATTTTACCCTGTCTTGTGCTAGGTTTTCTTTTCATTCTGTTAGAAATCTAGTATTTCATTTTGTGCTTTTTATTTCCTTCCCTCCTGTTGGTTTTACATTTGTTTTAATCTGCAAGTGTTTTCAGTATAAATTTTACATTGTTCTATTGTATTTTTAATGTTATGTTTTTCAGCTTTAATTTGTAAAATGCCCAGAGAGCTTTACCTGTTTAGTGGCACAAACATGTAGAATGTAAATAAACAATCTTCAGTGGTGTGACTACATCCAATTATCCTGTTTTAAAAAGCAGGAAAAACATTTCCATCCTTGACTCTTCTAGTTTTATCCCATTTGGAGCTCAATTCTCATGGCCACATTTGGGGCTTCTTTTCAGCGTGTCATCCCTTTCCTTAAGAGTTGAGTAGAAGCAGTTGAATGGCTGTGTTGACTATTCCACTCCAAAATTATGATTGACCCAGACTAGACATTTTCTGTGCTCTTTATTAAATGTGAAATTTCATAGATTATGTCATCTTTCATTTGTAGCCTTCACATGTTTTCTGACTAGTTCATCCATCCTTTTATCAGAGAAAATTCCTCAAGGGAGTGAAAGATGAAGTAGCTGCACAATGTCTTTTGATTAGCAATGGTGAAATCTATTTGTCTGAAAGCAGCTGTAGCCTCAGTTATTTGTTGTGGGAAGGTAAACCAGACTTTTGGTGTACTTTTGTAAGGCTACTGCATTATTCCGTATACCGTGTTTTTTGCTGCATAAGACACACTTTTTCTTCCAAAAAAAGTGGGAGCAAAAGTGTGTGCGTCTTATGGAGCAAATACTGTAAAAATTCCCCTCTAGTGATCAGTCTAATAATTACACCTTTTTTACAATGCTGATCTGGAAGGACGCTGCCTCAAGCTCCTGGGACTAGGCAAAATGGTTTTGGCTTAACAGACTCCCCCCCAGAGCCCATGCTGCTGTCATACGTGGCTGGGCTCTGTACTCATTAGTAGCACTGGTCCTACAGGGCATCTGTAGCAGCCCTGTAGGACTAGAGCCACTTATGGATCACGTGACCAGCAGAGAGAGAGAGAGAGAGAGAGAGAGACGTGGAGGAAGGGAGAAGACTCGTCCAGGTACCGTAAATAACATCATGCAGAGGAATTCCTGACTAGATTGCTGACTGATGACATTAAGGGGCATATGAGGCATTGTTGGGGAAAAGAAGGATTTGTTTCAGTTGCTCGCTGAGTGAAAGGCTTTTAGTTCTTTTAAGATTTGTCATACTGTTCAAAGCAACCCACTCTAATGGTATCTTAAACCTGATTTTTTGATACTTTACACCGATGTATTGTGCCTTGGGATGTCTACTTCACTCCCCTAATGGTGAACATAATTCAAAATGTATTATATAAAGTAATAGACCTCCTCATCTGGGACCACTCTGCCTATAGAGATACCATACAACTTGTCCAAAGCCAATTACTTAGTCATTCTCATTCGCACTGTTGCAAAGTTGCTTTCCCTCGACTTTATATCTCAAAAAGCTTCATTTCTTGGTTGGTGGCTTTTTAAAAATTTAATGCTCAGAAACATGCAGTGCTGGCAGCAAAAGCCCAGCATCCTGAGTAGGGCTTTCCAGTCTGCCTTATACTTCCTTACAACCAAGATCCATCCATTTGAGTCAGCAGTAGACTTTCAGTTATCTTCTTGCAGCCCATTTGCCCAATTCCTGGCTGGATTGCTGACTGGTGACATTAAGGGGCACATATGGATGACACTATCAATTAAGGGGCACAATATGGATGACGATATCAATTTAGGGGCACAATATAGATGACTATTTGGTTCAGAATATTTTTTTCCTGTTTTCTTCCTCTAAAAATTAGCTGTGTCTTATGGTGAGGTGAGTCTTATGGAGCGAAAAATACAGGACTTTCCAGTTGGACTGACAAAACTAAATTGGCACAGACTGAATGTGTCCCCTTCAAATGAACTTGTTAGTGATCTATAAATCATTGTTGATGTTTCTTTCTAGTCCTAGTTTAAAGCCTCAGACTCTAGAGATTCGTTAGGCTTGCTACCAAACAAAACATAACTTTTCAGTTATTCTCTTACTACCTTCATGTTTGTAATGCATTTTGGGAATCAGGTTTCTGCATACTCTGCATGTTACCAAAAAGAAAGAAAAAAAAGGAAAAGAAAGGAATCTTTGAACACCTAATTAGAGTGGAATTCTGATTTTTTCCAAGGTAAAAAGTCTGGCCCCTTTAGTTTATCTCCTTGTTTTTTTGTCAGTTTATTGCTGTTTTCAGATATTCTGTCACTCTGCTGAGAAGTGTGGGGAGCACGTTTGCACATGCTGAGCTACATCCAGCCACCAATAAGGACTAAAAACTGAATATACATGGGACTTTCCCCCTTTGTGGCAGGAACCTTGAGGAAATGGAACTGATTGCATAAAGAGGTCCCTACAGCATTTACTTTAAAACTCATGTAACAATTAAAACTCTCATGTTTTAAAACTCACCCTGGACTAGCTTAATTGATCAGTTGATACATCAGAACGCTCTTCAGTTTCATTAAACTTTACCTTTTGTGGAATTACTGTCCAACTAGGCATATCATTTTGTGCAGCCTTGCAAAATGCTTGTTGGCAAGAGCTGGGAAGAAGATGAGCTTGGTAAGCAAAAATCCTATCAGTGAAAGTGGGACAGAGTTGTATTCCATTTTTGGCTGGCTGGCTGCCAAGGAGTTGGTAAAAAGCAAAAAAGCTGGCACAGTTTCAGTCGAATAACTGGCAGACCTTTCTTGGTCCAGCGTTGTGTTTTTAACTGTTTATAACCCAAGGAATTAACTTCTTGGGTATTTTAAAAATCTGTTTAATCTACCCCAGTCATCCAATTTATCTCCTTCCTTACAGTTTTGAAATAGACAATCTGGAAAATAAAATACTGTATGTTTCCATATATAGTGGGGAATAGGAGCCATTAAAATCTTTTAGGAGCTAGTGTAGCATAATAGGTTAAGTACAGTGGTGCCTCGCAAGACGGGCGCTCCGTTTAACGACTAACCCGCATTAAAACGAGGTTTTTGCGATCGCAAAAGTGATCGCAAAATGATGTTTTGCATGGGGTAATTTTGCTGCGTGATTATCGGTTCCCTGTTTCGGGAACCGATTTTTGCTTCCCGACGATCAAAACAGCTGATCGTCGGGTTTTCAAAATGGCCGCCGGGTGCTCAAAATGGCTCCCCGCTGTGTTTAGGAGCCATTTTTCACTGCACAGGCACCTGAAAATGGCCGCCCCATGGAGGATCTTCGCTGGACGGTGAGTTCTTAGCCGATTGGAACACATTAACCAGGTTTTAACGCGTTTCAGTGGCTTTTTAATTTTCGCTTTACGACGTATTCATTGTACAGCGATTTCGTTGGAACGAATTAACGTTGTAATGCGAGGCACCACTGTATCTGAATGATGAATTGGGAAGTCTCTGCTTAAATTTTTTATTCTCTTTTAAAGCTGTAACATGGCATAAAGCAAGTTATTTTCTATCAGCTGTAGTCCCCTCCTGCCCTACACATTGCACTACTGGGTTTAACAGTGTTGACTTCCCATGCACAATAGTTGTTAAGGTAGAGCTTGTAACCCCCTCAGAAGTCCTTGAA